CTCAGTTCCTATCACCCACATGGAGGCTGAAAATTGCACAGAATTCAAGTTTCAGGAGACCTGACACCCTCTTCTGGACTCCGTAGACACTGCATGCACATGGTGTACATACAAGCAAGCAAAATACTGATACACATAAAATAAAAATTAAAAAGTAAATATAAAAATGTAAGAGCAACCTATTTTTCCTTAGTACAAAGTGTTTTTCATCATTTCAAAGATTTAATCTTAAAGGCTATTTTGGTTATAAATAAATTACTCATGTGCACAATTTAGACAAAATGCATAGGTTACATTTAATTCAGGTGTGTCTAAAATTAATATTTGAGTTATCATTTTCTGTTGGAACAACTGTATTACTTCTATAAAAATATATATTATATATCATGTTTTACCATGATATAATGAACTCTCAGTATTGTTTCAGTTCTCTTTATCAAATCATATAATTACTTGAACATCTATATATATTATAAAATAATATAATTATACCATTTTATTTTATTTTCATATAACATTATATAATGGACATTTTTCCATATCACCATATGCTTTTCCTAATGATCACCAGCCTCCATCAATGCATATATATAAATGAAATTGATGAATGCTCTCTCCCTGGGAGGGAAGAGTGCCTCCAGCAGGCAGCAGCAGTAGAACTGGCTATTGGAAAAACCAGAGTGGCCTTTCAGTGGCTTCCCATTGCTTTTGAGTTGAAGGAAGGCAATCCCTAGTGTTGTCCCGTTGTTAACAGCTAGTTTGCCTTCTGTTATCATCACTAGCTTAATCTCTTGCTATGTTCTCATTTGTCAGGTTTTTTTTTTTTTTTTTTACAAAATATTCAGACACCTAAAATGTCTAAAAAAAGGGGTATAACATTAAAATCTCCCCATAGTTATAAAATGAAATCGATTGTGGTGTTGACTATGCAATGCCACATTCCATTTATCATGCCTGAGTACAAACAGCCTGACTATTGGCATTCATTTTAAGGTGGAGAGCAGACCCAAACTGCTGAGAACCTGTTCCTTCACAATTCTCTTGAAACTATGCTCCCTAACAAAGGGCCTACTCAATCCTTTGTTGAAACTATATTTGGCATGAAAAGGGAGAAGGAAAAATTTGTCTTATCAGAATACTGTCTCTTCTGACCCCTACTGACCTAGAATACCATGAACACAACCTCAGACATACATTATCAATTTAATTCCATTTGTTATTAGCAACACAGATGGGATAATCTTCATATCCTCTTTATGTTGCTGCAGAGCTTTCTTAAATATGTAAAACATCCATAGGCTCTACAGTTTGTTTTGCTTCCAAAACAAGGAAGGGTCCTGAGGAATTAAAGCTATTTGGTTTAGGTTACAAGAGGAGCCCAAGGCCTAGTAGGCTTGTTTACATTATAAACAAGCTACATTAAGGTTAACTTTTTGATTGTAAGATTAAGTAAAAGTCGTTTGTCCAGAGTATGTCCATATTATAAAAATCATTCCCACAATTGATGTAAAAATTAAAATTCCAGATATTTTTTGAATCAATTCTACTTCACTATATCTATACTGTAGATATAATATTTACAGTTTATTTACATTATAGATATAAATAGACAAATATACAATATTCCTTAAATCACTGGATAGAATTAAAAAAGACTAATTCATTAAAATCTCTGTTAATGAATTTGAAGTAGTCATAATGAGGCTTCAGAAGCTGGTAGGGATAAATTTAGTGATCAAAGCAAGTTGTGGAGAAGTATTTATATGATGGTACAATTAGGTGAGAAAGTGAGTGTCAATGAATGCTCATGGGATAATCATGGGAAGATACACAAAATCATAGCTAAGTCTGTTGTCTTTGAAGGAGTGAATGTATAAGCGGGAGACAGGGAGAGGAAGATTTATTTTATAGTATATTCTGTAATTTTGCCTTTTGTGTCTGCGTGTGATAGAATGGATTATTTTCCTTAATTGTGCACACCTTTGTTTACTTATTTGTTTATTTATTTATTTATTTATTTATTTATTTATTTATTTATGCCATGTGATTTTACAGTCTTCTATGGTAGCTGAGTTGACTATCACACCCCACTGGGGTTAGACTTGGTCACATGACCTGCATTAGTCAAAGAAATGTTAGCACATATGAAGCAGGCAGAGGTTTAACTATGCTGGTATGCTTTAGCTAGCCTTTTCTTCTAGTGTGACTTGTCATAAGAAGACAAATAGCTGCCATTCCAGGAATAAGATGTGCAGAACAGACTGGAACCTACTTTGTGCCTTCCAGCCCAGCCCAAGTGATCTTACCCAGAAGTAGAACCAGTCTAGACAAACTGCAGACCTGTAAGCTTGAACAAGAAATCTTTGCTGCTGCAAGTCAATGAGTCATTCACTCTTAGTCGTTACACAGCACGGTTATAATAGGAGCATTCTCTAAGGGGTTGGAGAGATGGCTTGGCGGTTAAGAGCACTGGCTGCTCTTGCAGAAGAGCCGGATTCGAATCCAAGTACCCACAGGGTGGTTGACAACTGTTTATGGCTCCAGATCTAGGGAATCCGAAGCCCTACCAAGAAGGAGCTTTCCTATCTCATCTCTATTCAGTCAGGTTCTTGTGCTACCAATGTCCTGCATTCCTGTAAAGCATGCTAACTGATGTTCAATGCATCATCAATGTTCATGGCTATTGCCAGCCTCATTTAGAATAGCCACATCTTCTTAATCTTACTAGTTGAGTTGCATCCTTACAAAGAGTTCTCAACCACATTTATTACTGTCATCCTTATTACAGCAGTTAAATTTATTTCATCAATTTGGGTAAATTGACAAAATGGGCCTATTGCTTGTATAAAGACTACACTGTATTATTCAAAAAAACTCAAAGTCCCTTAAATTGTCATTTGATTTAGTTATTTTCAAAAACAAAAGTTATAAAACAGCAGAAAGACATATCTTGAAATGAATTCTAAAGTTCTTTAAATTCTCATCACACCTAAAAAACACTACAGTTAACAATTAGTAATGATAAATTATTGATGCATATTAGAATGACTATATGACATCCAATCTCTGAAAGACCTTGATTCTGTATGCTCTAGTGTGCTGATTTACAATAGCCTATTATAAGGTAAAATAAACTGTGTGTCATCTTTTCATGATTCCCTGAGGCTCATTAACAGTTTTTGCTTAATTTACATCTTTGCAGAAGATGAAGGACCATTCTAGGTTCACACCATTCAGGAATAAAGGAGTTGATGGTACCACTTCATGTTATTCTTTAAACCTTGCTGAGTTGTAGAATCCATGTGCAGCATCCTTTAGAGATGAGAATAGAGCTATTTATTCATTTATGTGTGTATGTGAGAGTGTGTGGTATTTATGTATGGCATATGTGCATACCTGTGTGACATGCATGAAAGTGGGTATGCGCAGAGGTGCGTGTTGGGTGTCTGGGTTGATCACTGTCTTGTTTCTTTGAGAGAGGGTCTATCACTGAATCGGGAGCTAGGTTGGAGGCCAGCAAGCCCAATGACCCTTCTGTCTTTTCCCTACACAATTCTGGGGTTATGGGCACATACAGACACACCCAGCTTTTTATGTGGGCTTTGGAGATTTGAATTCTAATCTACATGCTTGGGCAGCAAGTGCTTTTACCCACTGAGCCATTTCCCCATCCCCAAATGGAGCTCCCCCTCAACACACTTCCTATGCTGGTTCTAAGTTAAGCTTTCTGGAAGCTGCTTTAAATATTACATGATACAGAGGTTGTCACAAGACTTTGTTGTCGTCTCTCAGTCAGCTCTAATACATTACTGTCAACTAGCTTTAAAGTCATTCTACTATGGCGAAGAATTTTAGTAATTAATATTTCATCTTATGCTCATTTTCTCCAATTTTGTTGTCCCCTCCTCCTAGTTCATAGAAGGATAACAAGCTCCTCGAAATATACATTATTAGCTTTCCATTGTTCTGTTTTCTTTTGGGCTTGTTGATGTGTGCTAAGGTTTATTTTGTGGCTTGCTTATAATGACTTCTGGCTAAATTATGATTTTAGGCAAGGCAAAATTCACAGGCACACAATGTATGTTCTTAAATGGCTGCCTGGACATAGACTTTCTCTTTAGGCTGCATTCTCATGCTTACATTCAATCTTTCACAAAAAGAGAGGGAGTGGGTATTGTTTGCAGAAGATATATGCATATCTTAAGCTAAGAGAAAATCCTCTCTGTCTTTTATTTTGTTTTCTTCTGGCACCAGGGCTTGAACCCACAGATTTGTGCATTCTAGGCAAGAGCTCTATCATGGAGTTACATTGCCAGCCCTTGAGAAAGTCTTCTAATTACTTTCTCAATTGTACATTTAGCAGATTGTATAATAAACAGATGTATTAGATCATCTTGGGTTAAAAGGGGGTGCTGGGTGAGGGAGAGTTGGTCTTTGTTGTTGCTGTTTTGAGACAGGATCTCCCTGTAGCCCCAGCTGGCCTGAAATTTGCTATGTAGACCAAACTGGCTCCATATCTTGGAGATCTGCCCACCTCTGCCTTCTGAGTGCTGTAATTAACAGCGTGTGCCACCAAACCTGGCTGGCTAAGTTGGTCTTATTTAAGGGAGTGACACTAGGGTGACCAGGCTCCAGTGGATGAACTCACACCGAGGGATATCTGGGGACACAAACTTGACTGAATGGGTTATAACATATATGACGGAATGCACGAAATCCGATGGGATGGGGGGACTATGGATGGGTGCAGATAGGGGAGGGGATCTAAATATGATTAAAACATATTATATGAAATGCACAAAAATTCAATAAAAAAATATATTTTTAAAAAAGATGGCCTAGTCCTAAAACCAATCAAGAGGATAAGATCCTGAAATTTCAGATTCAGACATTTCTTTGAGAAAAGAATCGCACAAGTCAAATTATTCTGAGGTGGGATGCTGAGACTCCAGACCACTTCAGTAATAGAAGCAAATGGCGAAGGCAACCTCACCATTCTTCAGTGGTTTTCTAGAGCTTCACTGAGCCTGGAAGCAAATTATCTAATTACATTTAGAGATACTCCTGCATCAAACCTATGATTTTTCTGTATAGTCGTTGAGGGGCATCGAGACCCCAGACGAAATCAAAGTGGTTCCAATCTGGAAATAGTTTGAAGTAGCGGAGATCTGTAATTTGGGGGAGTGTCCTGGCTACATCCTGAGGTGTTATAAGGACATCATGTCCACCAGCCCAAATAGCAGTGGGCACCTTCATGGAAGTCACGTCATAGAGTGGAGGGCAACTCTGTGAAAGAGAAAAAAGGCAATCATGAGGGAGGGGAAACTCTTCATCAACTACAACTGAAGTTAGTGAATGGAAAACCTGCAAAATGAGTGTCTGCTGTGACCACCCTGTAGGCAGTGAGAGAGAGGAGCAGAAAATATGCAATGGTCCCTACCCTTCAAGGAGTTTGCAAAGGAGAGAGCAAGGCAAGACAGCTAAACAAGCACATGTATACAATGTTGTATGCTGAATGTCATAAACATTTCCAAAATGCAAAGGAAGTACAGACAGAGAAAAAATTCAAAATGAGGAATTAATTAAAAGAAGGAATCATCTAAAATGACTTTTGAGGGGATTGGAGTTTGACAGGTAGGCTGTACGTTGGAGGGCTTCCTAGAGAAGAAACAGCATGCAGGTCCTGATCAGGATCAACAAACTTCCAGATGTACCTGGTGGCCAAAATCTGTAAGGGAAGATAGTTGGATGGGAAGTTAAAGGCAGACAGCGAAGGTCTGACAGCCGGGCTAAGGAATTTGGGAGTCTTTCAGGAGCTCTGAGGACAAAGCAGTGTTGTCTCCCAGAAATCTGTGTTAAGACAACTACATAGGCATCAGTTATGGGAGGAATGGTAGAAGGGATAATTGAAGATCAGTTCTACTAAACTGAACACAAACAGTATGGATGACCCTTACTGAAGCTCTAAGGCTAACTAAAGTCTCTAAGGAAGAATGTGGGGGAGCTGTGAAGACGCTTAGAAGACTGTTAGTCTGGGAGAGTCAGGGGGAAGAGCAGTTAACCCGAGATCATTGCACTACAGCAATTCAGTACAAGAGGAAGAGTTACAAAGAGATTGTGATAGTTAATATAAAATGCTTCAAAGAGTAAGAGTAGACAACTAAATTTAGCAAGTAATGGAGCTGGAGAGGTGGCTCAGTGGTTAAGAGCACTGGCTGCTCCTACAGAGGACCAGGGTTCAGTTCCCAGCACCCACATGGCAGCTAACAAGCATCTGTAACTCCAAGGGCATTACATGACATGGGTGTACTTACATACATGCAGGTAATACACTCATACATATAAAATAAAAAAAAAATCAAAAGAAAATTTAAAAAATAATAATAAGTAAAAGCCACAAGTGATTTTAAGTAGAATATGTGTAACAGAAAAATGAAGACTGAAGTTGCATATTCTAACATTTAGGAAAGAATAGGAGAGGGGAGTTAAGTCATTTAAATATTAAAAAAATGAATGAAATGATGGCATGATGACCTAACGGAATCTATGAATTTAAAGAAAGGTTTGTTTAATGTTTTTCCATAAAGGAAGGGGGTCATGCAAGATAAGAACAGCTGATAGCAAAAGCATGTTACGGATTCAGTGTGAGCTCCAAAACAATTCTAATGACATTCTTCACAGATAAAGAAACTAACGTAAAATCACAAAAGCACAGAAACAGCCGAAACAAATTTTAAGTAGAAAGAGCAATGCTAAAGGTGTCATAATTCCTGGTTTTGAATCACAATGTAGAGCCACTGTAAGAAGAGCAGGTGTGTAGACTAAGGGAATGCAACAGGAGTCAAGAAACAAACTCACAGCTATAGTCACCTGATTTTTCAACAAATTTTCAAAAGCATTCGTTGGAGAAAAGATGTTTTTTCAACAAATGGTGCTGAAAAACTGGAGATCATCATGTAGAAAATGAAATAAGAAGACTACTATATCTCAATTGTAAAAAAAAAAAATCAATTCAGAATAAATGAATCAAAGACCTGAATGCAAAACCTGAATTTTGAAATGGTTATAGGAAAACATATTTCAAGACTTAGGTATAGTCAAGGACTCTTTGAAGAAGACTCCAATACCCCAGTAATTAATTAATAGTAGGAATCAATAAATTACATTCTATATCTGGACGTGGTGGCACACACCTTAAAACCCAGTACTTGGGAGGCAGAGGCAGGTGGATCTTTGAGCTCTGTGAGACCAAGGCTAGCCTGTTCTAGATAGTGAGTTCTAGGCCAGCCCAGCTGGGCTACAGGGAGACCCTGTCTCAAAAAGACCAAAGAATAAAAGAAAAGTAATTGGAATCCATGACACTAAAAGCCTTCTGTACAGTAATAAAGTAACAGACTGAAGAGACAGTCTTCAGAATGGGGCAAAATCTTTGCCAGTTATACAGCTAATGGGATTAGTAACAAGAAGAGATGAAGGACACGAATATTAAACACCCAATCCCAAATCATCCAATCAACACATGTGAAAATGAATAAAGCAGGCGGTTCTCAAAAGAGAAATACAAATGGCTAATAAACATTAAAATATGTTGAACATCTTTAGTCATAAGAGAATTTCATACTAAAACTGCATTAAGAGTCTACTTCAGCCCAATCAGAAGGGCCATCTATTATCTAGAAAACAAATGAATCAAGCACTGTGTAGGCGACAAGGAAAAGTAATCCTTACACATTACTTGTGAAAATGTAAACTAGTGCAGCCACTACAGAGAGCACAAACGTTTCTCAAAAAATTAAAAACAGATCTACGATATGACGGTACCACTCCTGGGTATCTGCTCACAGAAATACTTGGGCATCCATGTTCACTGAAACACTAGTCACAACAGCCAAGATATTGAACCAGCCTAGATACCCATCACTGGCTATAAAGTA